TATTACATGCATTCGACGCTTCGCAAGACGGACAATAACCGTATTGCCCGCGCAACCGGGGCAAAAGTTGTTAGTCGTATTGAAGAGCTCACGAAGGACCACATTGGACAGGCAGGATTAATGGAGATTAAAAAGATAGGAGATGAGTATTTTACCTTTATCACTGGCTGCAGCTCCGGCAAGGCGTGTAGCGTGGTTTTGCGTGGTGCCAGTAAAGATACCCTTAATGAGATGGAACGCAACCTTCATGATGCCATGTGCGTGGCCCGTAATATCATCCTTGATCCGCGTGTAGTGTATGGTGCTGCCGCCGTGGAAATGTACGTCTCATCCTATCTTATGAATCGTTCGAAGAGCATCACAGGTGTCCAGCAGGCGGCCTACCAGGCCGTGGCGATGGCCCTTGAGGTGGTCCCACGCATATTGACAAGCAACTGCGGCGCAAACGTCATTCGCACTGTTACGGAATTACGGGCGCGTCACTCCATGCCAGACGGTAACTTCTGGGGCGTCGATGGCACCACCGGCGAGATTGTTGACGTCCGGGTGCTGCAGGTGATGGAGCCTGCCGCCGTGAAGGTGCAGGCGCTTAAGACAGCCATTGAGGCTGCGTCGATGATTCTGCGCGTGGATGATGTGGTGTCTGGCACCAAGTTGCGTCACGGCAATGAGAAGCCTGCACCCGCTGCGGCGAAAGGCGATGATGATCATGGCGATGCCGCGGCTGCGGAGTGACGCAGAGGGGGTGCGATGGTTGTTTGTCAATATTTTACGTACGCCGCCGTGATCACCGTTTTCCCCCGTTATTTTATTTTATTTATTTATTGTTGTTTTTTTTTTTCTTTAAAAGATTTTTTTTTACATATTCCGTCCGTGCGGAGAGACGACGAAGAAAACTTTTATTTTATTTTAATTGTTTCTTCGTTCCCTTTTGGTGGGTGGGTCGTTAAGGCGTGTGATCGTGGGGGGGGAGGGGGGGAGGGAAGAAAGAAGGAACCTCCTCTTCCTTCTCCTCTTTTTTTTCTTTTTTTAAAAGAAAAAAGCCCCCATCCCACATAAAAGCAAAACAACAACAACACTTCCGAAAGAAAGAAGTAAACAAAACGCGATTAGAAGAAATATATAAAAAAAAGAAAAAGAAAAAAGAAATAAAAATGAGGGGAAAAATTTTAAGCGAGAAAAAAAAAAGAAAAAAAATTGTCCATGCATGTTGTTGTTAGCGTTTGTTTGTGTGTGTGTTTTGTACGTCTCAGAAAAGGGAGGAAGAGGGAGAGAAAGAGAGCGAGAGGAACGACGGGATTGTACATATTTTTTCTGTGTGTGAGTGCGTGAGTGGGTGTCAGACTGCGGTGTGAGCCGACGGTACCACACATAACACGCCTTGCATTGACATGCATAGCTGGCACAACGTGTACGCACATAACTCGACAATTTATTTATCTATAATGTCTTAATGCATCTGTGGCTCCACTGCTGGAAAGGGGGGGCGTATCCCTACCGTGACCATCAGTGACTTTCTCACGAGGAAGCGCTTTTTAATTTCTCCACCCACTTTTTTTTTTTTTCTTTTCTTGAATGTCGCTGCTGCGGGGCATTATTTAGGCACGACGGGGTGACGCAGAAGGAGAAGAGATTATTTTGCGTGAAGAGCGGATTTCTTTGAAGGTGGGCGGGGTGGTGGGGCAACGGAAAGCAGCGAAGTTAAAAAGGGAGGGCAAAACGTTTACAAAATCAGCAGCGTCTTTCTCCCTCCCCCTCCCGCATTTCTCCCAGACATTTTAGGACGAGGGCGTGAAGAGTAGGGCCGCCGAAAAGAGAGATTGTTACTCATACAATCATACAGTCATACATACATACATACATACATAAATATATAAATACAGTTATTTTATAATAATATAAACATTTATTAGAGTTATACGCAACTGAAACCGTAACATTACACATCCGGATACGCACAATAACTTTCTCCACCTGTGAGGGCGCTTAACTGCTGATGCTGCGTGCCTCACTCATTGTTTATGGCAGCGGATTTATGCGGACCATTGGGAAGAGGAAAAAGACCGCGGCAGCCACAGCCGCCACTACTGCCATCAATGGGAAAACTGCTAGTGTTAGTACTGGTGCTGATAAGAAGAGAAGGAAGAAGGCGACGACGCAGGTTGAGGAAATGATGGATGGGGATTCCACACCTGTTATTCACAACAGCAATTCCATGCATACTCGTTTAGGTGACGGGGAGTCAGAAAAGGCATCAAATTCTCGTCATGGGACCACCGCCACTGGCCTCCGCAGCCGCAGGAACAAACGCAGCGACGAGGAGGTTTTGCAATTAGCTCAGCGCATGCAGCGGCGGGACCTCACGGGGGAAGTGCCCGTGGCGTCCTTCGCTTACGAGATATTGAAGGCACACCCGTCTGTGCGTCAAATGGGGTTGCGTGAGCGCATGTCATTTCTTTGCGATCGATGGGACCGGCTCAGGAAGGAGCAGCGGCAGGTGTACCTTGACGACCCGCTCAAAGGTCTGTTGTAGTCGAGAGCGGATTCTTCTCTCTCTCTCTCTCTCTCTCTGTGCGTGTGTGTTTGGAAGTGGAGGGGGCTGACGGCCAACAACAGCAACAAAAACATTAGGGCCGTTGTCAAAAAAGGAAAAAAAAGAAAGAATGAAAGAAATAAAAAAAGAGAAAAGGAGAAGTGGAAGAGACAAAAAAACAAAAACAAACAAAAGCAACGAGAGTTCAATGAGAAAGGAGGGGAGGACGGAATGAATTATGTGGGAGGAGCTTAGAAAGGGGTGGGGGGAAAGGGTTATGCGTGCCAGTACAGAGAGGCGGGAAACGAATTGAAGGAGGGAGTGATTTCTGCGCTATCAACTGCTTTTTTTCTTTCTTTCTTTTTTGTGTTTTACCCCTGCCATGTGGTTATTATATAAATATAGATGCCCGTGTTCCTTGAATTCCCCCTTAAACAGCTTTTACCGCGTGCCACATGTATAAACACACACACACACACAATATATATATATATATATATATGACCATGACTGTATGAATATATATGTCTTTATAGAGTTCTTTGTTTGGAGGCGGTGACGGCGCTGATAATATGCCAAGATTGTGGGGGGGCGGATGTGTCGTTGTGGGGGTACGAGGGAGCGAGGGAGGTAAAGAATTCAACGCATCACCATCACTCATTTTTTATTTTTTATTTAATTTTTGCATCTGTTTTTATTGTCGATGTTTTTTACACAAGAACGAGGAGGAAAGGGCTAAACTGTTTAAAATAGCCACCACAGGAGAGAAGAGAGATGAACATATATATTTTAATGGATTTTGTGTCGAGTCGTCTTTCCTTTTTTTCGTTTTTTTTTTCTTTTGTGGGGGTACTTTTGCGCTTCAAATGCTGTCCCACAAACACGCACACACACAAATGCAGGCAGCCGCTGTTAGGAGGAGGGGTGACATTAAATTAGTTGTGCAGTTGGTATTTATTTATTTATTTTACGCGTGCGCCGGAGGGAATCATGTGGCGTTTCTTGATGGCGAGAGAATCACGAAGGGCGGTGGCTTTAGGAGCGGCGACGATACTGTTGCCATTCCGTTGTGTTCATGAGCGGCCATTCCTTGACCTTCCGACCGATGTTTCTCAAGGCGAGGCATACGACATGGCCCGCGACGCCTTGGTACAGCTCAACGTGATGGTGCGACGCGGGATTGAGCCGGATGCGCTCATGTACACTTCTCTCATTGCCACGATGGGCCGGGCGAAGTTGGAATGGCAGGCGTATAAGCTTTTCTCCCGTATGTTGGAGCAGGGGGTGCGTCCATTGCCGGAAACGTATGTGGCGCTGCGCGACGCCACCTCTCCTTCACGCCGGCGATTGAGGCAGGACTTACAGTTGAAGATTGAGGAATCTTTGGAGTCCTTGCCCTCTGAACTGGCCGAGGAGGAGTTGGCTCGCCGGCAGGAGCAGGATCGGCTGTGTGTTGAGAAGTTTGAGGACTACATGAGGGGTGTGCTGCCGACACCTCCGCCGTGTGCATCACACACGCAGACGACGATGATACCGGCCGTGCAGGGGGAGGGAGGCCGCAATGACGACGGCGATTTCCAGAAGGAAAGAAATGGCGCATCCGCAGCAGCGACAAAGACGGATGGAGGCGGACAGGAAGAACCCCGACCCGTTGCGACTATGCACATACGAAATCCAACAGACGCGTGGAGCACTGCACGTATGATGGAGGAGCAGCGAGGAATTAGGACACAGCGTACGCAAGGCAGTGATACCATCGCTCTTAGCGATGAACTTCATCGTCTTCACGAGGAAGAGCTGCGCATATTTCTTGCAGCGCAACGGCAACTACGCCACGGCACAAAGGATGAGTTAGTGCGCCGGGTGCTGGATAATGTACCTGAAACGAGTATTCGTGACATGTTGGGGCGCCGAAAACATTACTTCCGGTCTGTTGCACACATCTTGGAAAACGATATACATGCACTTCGCCGGGAGAATATTGGCGAAAACAAAGACGTGTTACAAAATTCTGTACAGGAACAGTTCTCTGCAGCAGATCGTACATTGACAGCCGCAGAGAAGGAAACGGTGGCGCCGGAGGTCCTGCATACCCCGTGGGGGATTTTGCGAAAGCCGATGAAGCGAGAGCCCGACCCATCCGCATCGCGTAGCATGGAGCGCCTGCAGCGCATAAGCCTCTCCTTGGAGGAGCTGCAACTCATTCGATGTAAGGGAGAGACAGGAGACCTTGATGAGCTCCCGGAGAGTCTTCTGAGACGCTATGCGTTTGAATTTAACCTAAAGTGGAAAAGACGTTTTCCACTCTCCTTGTTGGAGGCCGTGCAATGGCACTGCACGACGTTCCTTCCGGAGCAACTGGATGGGAAGGTGGTGGTGCGGCCCACACCTGCTCTTCGCCGGCAGCAGGAGGAGGAGGGAATGCACAAAACATTGGAAAATTATGAGGCCTTTCGCATCATTTCACAACGGACGAACAACCTGCAGGTGGTGGACCACAAAGAAATAAATTTGCATCTCAAGAAGATACAAAAGACGATGCTGCAGAAGGAGCGGCACACGGAAGAAACACTTCGACGGGAGCGAAATTTACTTGACGCCGCCACTCTTGCTGCATCGGCAAAGTCATTTACGCCGCCAGATGGGACGTCGACTACCGTTTCACGGGTGCTGGGTGTGAATGAGGGTGGTGATAGCAGTATTGCAAAGATTCCGCCGCCGGCATCTACCTCCGACACAAGGGGTGATTCTTTGGTGCAGGAGGAATGCCATGAGTTGCCCCCGTGGGCAATTTTTTCCGGCGCAGAGGAGTTTGACATCTCCACTGGCCGCTTCGGTGACCCCGATGTGGGACGCTATCAGGAGCTTAGCGACGGCCGCTTCAAGGTGCTGCCCTCACGGGAAGCACAGGACAAGTGGGCCGTTGACCGTCAACTTTTGCCCGGCCCGTTGCAAGACAAACTGCAGCGGGCAGAGTTGCAGCAAAAATTGCGCCACGAGGCCATTGAGAGACGGTACCAGCAAAAACTTCAGTACAATCGTTACCGCAAGTGGGACTCGTTCCTGCGTAAGGCTCAAGAGAAAGGACAGCGGGAGAAGAGCAGCGAAGAAGAAGAAGAAGTAGATGCTGTACGGCCACTACCGCCAAAGCGGCGTCTCTCGCAGCTGCTGCGCAAAGGACGCGATAAGGCACCAGTGGAAGGCTCTGTGAAGGCCAAGTACACCAGAAGTCTTTGACACACCCTTGTGGGGGTCCACGTTTTATTTCTGTGCAGACTCCACTAATTGTTTCCTTTTTTCTTTGTTTGTTATCTTACCGTTGTTGTTTTTGCCTTCTTCGCGTGTGAGCGAGAGGAAGATGCACGTCTTGCTTCTCAACTGGTGCACCTTTTTTTATTTTTTAAATTTCTTTTCTTTTCGTTTTTCTTTTTTTCTGCGGTTTTGTTTTTAGTTGACGGAAGAAAAGGGGGGTGAAGGGAGCGGGGGGGACAAACGAGACTTCACGTGGAACAGCAATACGGGCTGCTGGAAAACAATGCAACCCCAAGAAAGCACCGCTTCTGTGTTTCCTATATGCGCAATCGAGCGTACTCTCTTGGGGAAGAGTCTAGGATGCGAATTATGCAAACCAACCTTCACTTCTTTCTCTTCCCACTCACACGGACACATAACACAACTAGGGGCATGTTTATGTGTGTGAATGCTTTTTTTTTTTTTTTTTTTTATTTGCCTGTAATGATGTGGCTTTATTCCTTTTTTGTTTTTTTTTGTTCTTTATATCTCTTTTTTTTTTTTTTTTCTGTGGGAGGGAGGGAGGGAGAAACGAGGAACATTCACATCATTACAGAGGACGGAACACGCAAGAGACATTCTCAGGCATACACGGAGGTGGCCACCCACAGGAGCGACGAAACAAAAACCCAGAAAAAAGGGTGGAATTGACACTTTTACATTTACACATTAGGCGCAAAAAAGGTGTAGACAGACGGAGAAATAGAGCGAAAGAGAGAGGCGCTCCGCGTGTAGCGATTAAAATTTTCAATGCGAGGTGGGTGTCGTTGGACGCTAAAGTTATTACTCTTTCTTTTTCTCGTCAGTACTGTTGCGAGCGCGCAGGTGCCGGCGGATGCCCTGTCAACTGTCAAAGTAGACATCGGATTCAACGGCAAGTGGACAGCCGCCTTAGTGGCAGCTGCGGAGTTTGGTGACGCCGTTCAGAGTGACGTGAGCGCTGCTCTCGGCATCCAACGTGCCGCCGCGTGGTTTGATGCTGCGCCTGCCGTTGCCGCCGACCCCGGCACTGTTGCTGTGAGTTTTGTTGTGTGGAGTGACCCCGGCATCGTGGCGAATTTTCTGCTGCGGGATGCCGAGTGGACGGCGACGAAGGCGTATTACACGGAGGCTACCACAGAAAGTGTGGCAACGCCGTTTGTGGCCCATGCCTTCCGTGTGGAGGCCATCACGGTGCGCTTCACAGGGGACGGATGGGGCGACACCAGTGCCCTTCCGGAGGCAAAACTTTCGGAGGGGATCATTACCGACGTGAGGGCGGTGAAGGATGTGACGGGTACACCGGCGGATTTAGATGCGGTGTTGATTGGCACCGTTGACCGCACGAGTGGGGCAACTTTTCACCTTGAGGTTGTCTCCGCTGGGATTCAAAATGTAACCACTCTTCTCTCCCCCGCCTCCACGTACGCGACGCTGTTGGAGTACTACAAGCATCAGACAACTCTGACCGACGGCGCACTGCGGGACGTCAGCAGGACGCCAGCATCTCCCATTCAACAGCAGTACCGAACACAAATGCAAATGATTTTTAGCGGTTCTTGGCAGTTGGTTTTGCAATCAAAGGAGTTAGAGGTGGCGTCAACAATACAGTTGATACTTTCAGGAGCCCTTGCATTTCAACCTTCCCGTGTTATTATTGGAAACATCAGCAAAACAGTCTACCCGTTTAATTTGAATGTCTCGACCTATGTTGTGCATTCCCGCGGATTCAACGCTAGTACAATTCCGAATTTGGCTGCGGCAGCGAACTATTCCTCATTGGTGCGTCTGTACATGACAAATGGTGGGGATCCGAGCGTCACTCCCGTCTTATTGTTCTCGGACCTTGTTGCCTCTCGGCCTCCAACTGGCACGTCCGCTGTCTCGCTTGTTTCGACACACCAGCTCGTGTTCTCAGGCACTCGCTGGCCGACCGTACTTTCTTCTGTTACGGCGGACGTTTTTAAAGATGCGCTTGCAGGGGATCTTACGAAACTTGTGCCCTATGGCCCGACCACTGTGAATGTGCTGGGATATACCGTTGGGGCAAAGAATGGATGTAACGCTCGTGTGATGATCGATCAGCAAGGGGATGTGCAACTGATTCCCGTTGCATTGAATGCGTTTTTTAAATTGGCACCATCTCTTCCAAACACTGAGGAATTGTACAATAAACACGCTGGTGCCGATGGACATGAAGCCATAAAAGTTGTCTCTTCCTTGGAAAAACAGCCAAAACGCGGCAGTGCATGCACATCACGGTGTGTGGGCATCTCCATCATGGGCGGATGTCTTTTGGTCTTCAGCATCGTGGCCAGCATTATTTTCTGTGTGTGGCGAGTTTTTAGCCGCTATGTCAGTCCTCCCAAAATCAACAGCGACTTGGTCCGAATACCTCCCGAGAAGAATCCTTTTGTTTCCACCGTGACACTGCGTGGTGTTGCCGACACAGCACCGAGTTTCACGCGCAACCTCTCTCCAACTGGGGCGGCTGGCCCAATGTACCCGCCGTTGACTGCCGGCGTTGCACCGTTTGGTCCAATGATGTCCACCTCCACGGCGTCTGCGCCGGAGTCCCGCATGACGTCATATGTGGCCGAGCAGCCGAACTCTTCTGTGGTACGGCAGGGCAACATTATCATTCCCAGTTCCAGCGGTGAGAAGGAATTTGAACTTATTGTGATGCCACGCAGTGAATTTGAGCGAAGTCACGGTTCTGAACCATAATCGTCAATTCTGCAAGGAGGAATATATGTATAGGGCAGGATGGGATAAATAAAAGCGTGTTACGTATCAAGTAACGCATGAGCACTGGCAGAGGTACATATTTATGTATGTATGTGTGTATGTATGTGTGTACGGTTGCACAGGAAGGAGGTGGAACGAAATGATGTACTGATGGATGCAGAGGGCATGGAAGATAAAACCACCAACAAATGTACTTTTTTTTTTTTTTCTTGACTTTCTTTCTTAATATGCCAGGGAGAAATGACGGCGGTGACGAATGAACAGCGGGGGAATAAGATGAGGAAGAAAAAGAGAAGGAAACAAAACAAACAAAACAAACAAACAAAAAAAAAAACAAATTTGGGAAGACTCTGAAAATTAATCAAATGTCGGCCAGTAAAAGGAATGCTTAGTGAGGAGCGGAGAAGGGATGACAAGGGGATAAACTCCTCATCCCCATGGAGAGAGACAAAAACTGCCATGAAGACGGCGGCAGGGACAAAATTTGAACAGTTTTTCATGCCAACTGCCATGACGGCGGCAAAAAAGAAATAAATAAATAAAATGAATGACAGGAATAAACTCCCCACTTTAACCCTATTTCTTTTTTTTTTCTGCCGTCATTGGGTATTGTGAATATTCCTTCTTTTTCTTTTTCTTACTTCCGCATGTGTATATATATATATATTTACGCACGTGTCCTTTCTTATCTTTTTTTTTTTTTCCGCGGTTTTATTTATCTCATTTAATGAGATTATTATTATTAATTTTTTTTTATCATTGTGATGTTTTAGATTTTTTATTTTATTTTTTTTTTTTGTTGGGTTCTCGCGCAGGAATCCTCCAGTCTTCCCGCACGATATCCCACGCGCGTATGGAGGTTTCCAAGGAAGAATGACGATGCTCGCTCTTATGGTCGTTGCTGTCTAATGTCAATTCTTCTTTCATTGTTTTGTTGATGTCTGTTTTACACCAAACCCACTCTTTTTTTAATTATTTTTTTTGTTTTTTGTCGGTACCTCTCGTTGCTTTGGAACCCACACACACACACACACACACACACAAATAAGCAAACACACACAAACAGACAAGTGTGATTGTCGCTGCTTTCTTATTTGCGTTGGTGCGCTTCATCGCCATCTTCCACGTGCGTGGCTGAGACGGGAAAGGGACGGCCTGGCTGCGGCCAAGCAGGGAATTGTGGAGAGGGACACGGGGGTGCTGCGGGGGGACAAGCAGCAACGAGAAGTGAGAGAGACCCGTGGAAGGGTCGTGGCGACAGTCATGGCTCAACGAGTTTCCACCCGGCGGACGACGGAGGACTGGCAAGATGCCTTTTACAGCCTGGAGGAGCGTCATCGCCAGCTGCAGAAGAAGTTAAACGAAAAGGAGCAGGAGCTCAAGCTGCTCAAAGTGTCACAGCGACGTGAATCCGCCGCGCCGTTGTTTGCCCGGGGCGGCCCTTCACGCTCAGCCCCTCTTATGAGTGGGCGAGCTTCCAGCATGCGGGCGCCTTTATCATCGGCAAAAGCCAATGAGAGGACATCGGGGACACGAGTAGGAGGAGAAGGAACTGCAAATGAGGGGAAACATGACAGCTTTCCCGAGCGGAATGCCGGTCTTGTGTCCGTTCCGTCCGCCGCACGGAAGGCTGATGCCGGGGCTGCGGCCGCGGAGTTGAGGAGCGCCTGGTCGGCTTCCCCATCGCCGGATCCCTCCATGGTGTGGGGAATGGAAAACAGCATACAAAATTATGTTACCGCCAATGCCCTCTATTACGCGAACGAGGAGTTGCGTCACCGTCTTGATGATGCCGTGACTCTTGTGAAGACACTGCAGCATGAGTTGGCTTCCAGTCGCAGCTTGGTAATGAACACCCAGAAACGGCTGGAGGAGACGACGCAGCAAATGCATCAGCTTGTGCGGGAGCGTGATTTGGCCAGTCAAAAACTCTCCGTTTCACAGCAGGCCGTTGCGGAACTTGAGCGGACTTTGAAGCATCACAACACAGAGGAGGAACGGATTCGTTTCTCGCTGGAGACACAAATCACGGAGTTGCGAAGCCGCCTAGTCGTAGGGGCTGACAGCAACGAGCTGCTTACCCGCGATGTTCGTACCCTTCTTTCGGAGGTTAAAGAAAAATCTTTGGAGGTGCAAAGTCTGCGATCGAAAATTACTCTTGCCGAGGCGGCGTTATCGTCGCAGAAACAAAACAATGAGAATCTTTTAGTGGAGTTGCGTGGCCTTAACAATCAACTCATCAATGAGCGCAAACGACTGCTTTCCATGACACGCGAGGCGCAATTGGCGAGTTTGCGTGCCGATGAAGCGAAGGATTTTGAGTCTCGTCTAGCGGAGGCTATAGAGAGCCGTAGTGCACTTGAACGTGAGCATGTAAGACTGATGGAGAGTTTAGTGGGCGTCACAGAAAGTGCATTGCGGCAGGCGAGGGAGGAGGTGCGACAAGACATTGCCGATTGGCGTGCATCCGCCTCCCATTGGGAGGAGGTGTCACAGTTGCTTTACAAGGACATTGCACAACGGACTCAGGCGCACATTCAGTGTCGTGGGGAGTGTGAGGAGGCGAAAAGAGATCGTGACGAGGCTTCTATCGCTTTGCGGGATGCGTGGGAAGAAATTAAATTGTGCCGTGCGAAGCTGGACATTGTTTGGCCAACACACCGCGCCGACACGGATAACTTGACACCGACGGAGATTCTTTCCACGTTTGGAAATTACAAAGCCATTTTCCGACACAATCGGCACAGGAAGACCGGTCGTGCCGAGGGCGCCTCCGTTTCCCATGAAGAGAATGAAAGGGACGACGGCGAAATTACCGTGCAATTATGTGATGGGTCGATGGAAGAGCAGGTCCGCGAGCTCCACGAGGCGAATGGTGCGTTGCTGGCGGAGCTGGAGCAGTTGCGCATCACGAACGAAATGCAAGCCGAGCGGCTACGGAAGATGGAGAGGCAGGTGCGGCGAGAGCGAGAGGAAGTTCAGGCCTCTGCGGAGGCGTTGGAACAACGGGAGGAGGCCACACAGAAGTTTTTGCAAACCCAACTTGATCGTGTGGCGTTTCTTGAGGCTCAAGTGCGCTCGTTGCGTGGCTATGATGTGTCACCGAACATGTCCCTGCGTGAGGTTGGTCCTGGGGAAACGGTGTTTGAGCTTTTTCTTGGGCAGATCTTCTCCACAGAGACGCCGGAAGGCGTGGGACTGCGTGACAAGTTTCCACCGATTTTTTGCTCCGTGGACTTCTTGCTGCATGAGACCGTCACGACGCCAATTGTGACTGGGCTTAACGGATTTCTTGACACGACGGTCTCGTTTTGTGTTGCCATGGACGCACTGCTGCAGTACTACCTGCAGTCGCGTAGTCTGCTTGTCCAACTGCACCGCGTGCGCTCGCAGGACGAGATCCACAAAATTGTGTCTGCAAAAAGTGACACACACGAGCCTCTTTACGCGGAGCGTCTGTGCGCGACGCTGGCGGAAGGCTCCGTTAGTTTAAGCGCTTTTGTGTTGGATGAAAAGTGTCGCCAAGCTCAGCGGCCCACAGTCCGGGGACATATTCCTTTGCGCACCAAAAATGGTCACCACATTGCTTCGGTCGAGTTTACGGTGACGGTTCGAACTCCATTTAGCGACTCGTTCCGCGCGTTGGCCGCTGAGGCAAGTAGAGAGTCGCGCCCAAAGCTGACGGAAACGAAAATGCCAGCGGAAGTAAATATGCCGCGGGTAGAAGGGAGGATGCAGTTGGTGCCGACAACACATCCTTCAGAGGCCTTTGGCTCGGTTTCCACGACCTCTTCCTCTTCAATGTCTCTATTGGACTCGAAGATACAGGACCGACCTTCCGGTTTTACGCTTGTTCCACGTGCCGCTGTAATGGCCAGCGTTCCTTCCTCTTCTTCCTCATCCACCATCCGCTTGCTGATAGTGGATGTGCATAGACTGCATTTGCCACACAACTTGGCCCCTGTTCCTCGTCTTTCATGTTACTATGCATTGACTCCGCTTGGTCGGGATGTGTACCTCCCTGCTCCACCTACCCCACGGTACGAATACGAATATTTACAGGAAGGCGGTCATGGCGGAACACTTTTTCCAGTTGTTTCTGTGCGGGAGCTACTGGCTGTAACACGTGAGCCCTTTATGTTGTTTTTCTTTGACGAGTCATCACCGACAGCGCACAGTAGTGAAAGACAGGGTGAATGCCCGTACTGGGCAATGGCCAGAGCAGAGTGGCGACTAGCGCTCGAGCGACCAGAGGAATACGTCTCACTGGAGTTGCCTTTGATGGATCCGCAGGGATGCCCTGTTCAGGGGGCCTTTCTGCAAATTCGGTTACTTGCCACAAAAAATACGCAGGCCACCGAGGCGGGTTCAGCGATGGCTCTGCAGACGGCCCGTGCTGTCAATACAGGTTGGCGAGAGCAATCGCGAGAATATGGGAACCCTGCCGGCGCGGTGAATCTCCCACGGGTCTTTAGAAATGCGCATGCCACTCATGACGACAATGCTACCAGTGATTCTGCTGCTTTGGTCAATTACGTCCCTACAATTACATCAGGCGGTGGACGCACGTATGACAACACTTTGGAGTCTGTTGAGGTGGAGATGATCCGGCGGCAACTGGATGGCTAACGTGACGTGTGGCAGTGAGAATGATGGTGGTGGTGTTGGGACTATCCAATGGCGGGAGTGGGATGTGTGTAGGGCGGGGCCGTGGATATTTCTTCAGTGGAATGAGGAAGATGAGGGAAGCCTGACATTTTCTGCTCCCTTAAAAAAAAAAAAAAAAAAAATACCGTCCATACATAGTTTTTGGAATGCCAGTGACATGCGTGGCCTTGATAGAGTGTGTGACATTATTATTATTACTATTATTTTTGAATTTATTTTGCGTGTGCTTTCCTCTTTACTTCCTGTTAGGTGTTTTAAATTCTTTTGCACAGTGCCGCTTGACATGTGACCGCAGCGCTGAATGATGATATTATATTTATTTATTTTTTGTTTTTGCTTATGTATATGTGTTTTTGCATTTTTCAATGCGGTATTCGAAGAGTTTTAGTTTAAAAACAAAAACAGGGGAAGGGGTAAAAAGAAAAACCGACGGCAACGAAAAAAAAGAAAAAAGTCTTTTTTTTTGCCTTTTTTTTTTTTTTTGCGCCTTTCTTCCTGGCCTTTTGCGCTGCAACCACGACGTGCATAGACGTGGCGGGCACACGACTCACAGACCCGCAGGTGGGCAGCATTCACATCTGCGGCGAATGCCAACACCACCGCCGACGAGGAGATCAACCGACACGACTCATGAGATCACACGTGTTCAGGGCAAAGACAACACGGGGGAGACGATGGCGTTGATGGTTATAGACGATAGAAGGCATCCATTGGTGTCCAGCCACACCCCGCCGCAGTCCGTGGGATCCTCGTCACGGGAGAAGGCGGAGGGGGAGGAAAACGCGCGGCGCAAAGGACGGGCCATTCAGCGAAAGATTCTCCCACAGCCGTCCAAGTTTCCTACGCCCCTTCCGACGCCAGCCAAGGGGCCTTTTCCATTGCCATTGCCTCCTCGCACCGCCGCAACCAAGCCTGGGGCCTCATCCAGCAAAATTGCCGTGACGAGCACTTCTAAAAACAAGGTTCAACCGGCTTCTTCACGCCAAACCCAGGAACTGCCGCCTTCCATTTTTGATGATGCGCCTGTACAGGCCAGCCTGGAATACTTGACACGGCCACATCGCTCGTGGGACAGTGCTGTTAGAATTTGGGAACGGAGAGGCAGAAGACAAGAGTCAGAAAAGAACCGTCGTACGTGGAGCAACAGCGGTTTATCTAATTCCGTAGCGGGCTCTACGCGATTGTCGTGTGCTTCATCAAATAAGGCAGCGAGTTCATCAAGTATCAGTATCTGTAGTGCTCCTCCCACTGTTGGTCGTCTTCGCACTCAGATGTCATCTGGCAACTCCTCAGGGTGTGGAGTGCTTCGTCGGGGGCGCTTCGGTCTGTTGCCGAGCCTCCAAGCCGATCCGGAGGGTCTTGCAGTTGGCGGAAGTCGTCTTTCGCCGCCAGCACATTTTTCGACGATGTCTCGTTTTAAGCCATTGCCTCAGGGTGGTGCATCCTCCCCGGCAACGACGAACAAGTTTGGCGTCTCTGACTCCGAGAGGCGGGGCGTGAGCACACCCCTGTTAGGCAAGGTACGAGAATTTACTTTTACGATGCAGTAGACGCATTCCGAGAAGGACGGGCGGGAAGATGCAAGTGTGGAAAATAATAAAATGCCTCTGCTGGGTACTTCACTTGTGTGACCCCCTCACGGGTGCGGAGTGGGCGCGGATGGAAGAAAAAAAGAAAAGGCTTAGTCTCATTATTATGGAGATTTATTAGTCTTGTTGTATTGTTGGTCGTCTCATCTGTTGTTCTTTTTTTAAAGTTCTTCCCTCTCATCCACTCCCAATTACTTTTCACAACTGTGTCTGTGCGCGAGGGATATGTTTATCACCATTCTTGTCTTAATTCCTGTCCGTAGGGTTTTCTTTTTTTTTTTTTGAGCCAACGCGCTGAACCCCGAAGGGTGGAAGAAGAGGAGAGCGCCTAAAGAGCACACGAGGACCCTCCGCGTCATGCTTGGCATCACGAACACATGTCCTTTTTTTTTTGTTTTTTTGGTGTGTTTTTTTTTTACTTTTCGTCTCTTTTTTTTTTTTTTTTCCTTCTTATTTTAGCACACCTAGTGCGCTCATATATTCTGGATTTAAAAGGTGGGTGTATTCGACGCTGGCAGGGGCGTGTCGTGTCCCCTGCATACACACACACACACAGACAAAAGTGCTCGAATAAGAAAGAAGGAGGAGCAGACAAAGGGGAAAACAAACATTGTGAGTGTGGTGGTATTTGTTACTTTACAAGGACATCTATTAATTTCTTTCTCCCTTTGTATTATACACATACACCTCCATCGAGCAGCGGGAAAGGCGATATTTTTTTAGTAATAATATTCTTGTTGCATGGTGGTATCGGGCCTGAGTGCGGCGTCAGCAGAGTTGCTGCAGCAATTTGGCATTGACCCGAAGGACTTTTCCAAAGCACGTGTCAGGTATGAGAAGGTGCAAGAGGAACTGAGGGAGGAAGGTCTTGAAGCGAAGGGTGAAACGACGGATGCAGCTGCTAAAGCTGAGGAAACGCTTCAACGTCTCACGGATGCATGGGTCGAGTATCTCTGCCTGACGCAGAAATACTTTATTAAGATTACTAGTACTGTTATTGACGATCTGATGAATAAGATACGGGAAAAGGCGTCTGCGGCTGAGCGTGCGGAGAAATTGAATGAACTCTGCGCCATTGGTGAGAAGTGGTATGTACGCAACGAGGCATATTTTGAGTTTGAGGATCCAGAGAAGTTGGCATTGCTTGTTAAGGGGGCATTGGACTCCTCTAGCCGTGTGATGCGTCTGCTTGGCCTGCAACTTGTCCGTATTTGCGCTGCGAGCGTGAGGTTTACGCAGTGTCTTTTGAAGAATGTTGGTTGTGGACTCATTGGCCTATGTTTTGATCGTGAGATTGCCACGGAATTAGAGTACGCACTGAATGTGTGCACGCGTCTTATTGAGCTGCACGAGAGTAATCCCACGGCGTATCCAGACTTCCCTTATGGCTGGATTTGCCGCATCTCTTCCTTACTGGACCCGCAGGATCCGGTGCCGAATTTACAACCCAAACGGAAGAGTCAGGCGCTCCGTATCGCGATTAAATTGCTCCGTCGATTTCCAGCCATGTCAACAGCTGCCTCATTGCACACAATTTTACTTCGATATTGCATCCAAAAAGGGGCCGCCACGATGGACGAGATTAAGAATATATTACATGTTATTTTGGATTTGTTTGACTGTGCAGAGACACGGCAATACCTCCGTTACAACGATTTGGATGTCCTTTACGTACCGTTTTTGTATACCACGGATAAAAGCACGGAGGCGAATATAAACCTGATGAACGGGGCAAAAGATGTTCTTGCCATGGTGATGCGAACGTGGGTGGGGGTTTTATGGACATGTTCGGAAACAAAAGGACTCCGTGCTGTCATTGATGTGCTACACCTACCAGGGGATCTAGACCGTAAGATGGTGCTGCTCACACTGTTTAACAAAGTTCTTTGTCAACTGGCACCTCACCGGGGTTTAACGGCATTAAAGACTTGGCAAGGGGTGGAGAAGAACAAGCGAGAGACATTGAATTCAGACACAATTAGTTCAGAACTGACCTCAAGCTTCATGGAGTTCAGTTCCTCACGGATATCGGGCGAATATGCTAAGACCCAGACATTTTCTGAAGGCGGCATATTCATGGACCAAAGTGAGGTGCAAGACAATTTTGTTCCAACAACAAAGGCAATAGGATATCATGTTCTTGATCCACTTCTAGGGAGAGTGCTTTTGATGCTCTTTCACCATGGTCTTCCGCTTGCATTGGTGTCTATGATCGGAGATGGTGCCTCAAGTCGTCTTTTGGCATCCACCGCCTCATCCCTTTTGCAAGACATTTTTGTCCTGATGGATACCGTACTCCCGGTGCGTCCGGCTGGGCGGCTTCACACGGCTCTTAATGAGGCCGTTGGACGTCTGATACAACAAGGGGACTTATCTTTTAGGAGTGGACCCACCGCCAGTCTTTTTCAATACCATAGGATGATAAAGGATGTATCACTTGCCACAACGGTGGCTGGTACGAATGCAATTTCGGGCGGGAGGGCAATTATCCCGTCGGCTACAACGATTTCAGCCTACGGATTAGGAACCATGGGGGTTGACGATGCGGGATTTGAGGCGTTGCTGCGGCAAACGGGTGTGGATAGGGCCGATGGTTTTGTTGGATGGAACCAGGATTTGTTACTTTTGCTGGTTCATGGACCGTTGCGAAGTATGCCGCGATTTCAATGGGTATTGAAAGAAACCCGTTTTTTTCACAAGCTTATTGCTTTTTATCAACCGTCATTACAGACACAGTCGCGGACGTTTGTGTCGCTACGCACGGAGGAATGTACGCCGCAGCTTTGTAACTTTGGACTGGCGTTGTTGGATATGTTTCTTTCCACACGTGTGGGAACGGAGGTGTTGGATCAATTTGGTTTCACATCGGCCATTGTCAGAAATCTACAGGAGGTGGTTGACGGTACACCGCAGGTTTTGAACCGTGAGCGACTGGGCACCCGTGTGGGGCAGACGGTACTCCAAATGGTTGGTCGCTACTCCCTCTCAGCCAATGGATTGATGGCTATGAGGGAACACAATATGTTTGGGATCATAAACAATATGTTTGACGAGCTCTCCGGAGAGCGGGCGGCGGCACCGTCACCCAATGACACCTTGCAGGATGTATGTCAACTAATTTTACAGTCTTTGTACATTGGTGCTGTTCCCAACTACGGCGTATGTGAGGAAATTCGACATGCTATTCGCTCTGCTCTTTGCAATGATGTGAACTCCGTACGTCTTTATGCGGCGACACAACTACATAAAGCACTTTGGCGAGACCTCTCAACTTCTATGCGTTGGGGCATTGAAACCCTGGTTCAAGCTCTCCATGATGAATTCTACAGTGTTGTGGAAAGTGCCTTTAAACTTTTGCTTAGTATTTGCCTCTGTTCAGAGGAGGCCTTGGATTACCTGATATCCCTATCACCAGCCGTGCTCATGGAGAGTGAGGTCATTCGCCAACATTCTAAAGATCTTGACCTGAACAAGTTATTATACTGTATAGTGGGTAGAACGTCGGGACTTCGTTTTTTACAGTTCTACGGTTGGGTGGATGAGGAACTGCGTCGCTGGGAGGAGTCCGAGTCTGCAAATCACGTGCGACTTGTAGAGCGTATGCAGTCTGGCGAGGCGGTGGAGGCTTCCGTGGAGTTTATTCAGAGTATGGTTAGTCAACGACGGCAATTTCACGATCGTACAATTTCAGACCCTATTTATACGTTGTATCGACCCACTGTTTTATCTAGATCTATTCCAACATATAGTCCACCAAGTGAATCGGTGTCAGGGTTCTTCCCGAGTCATTTTGCCGCTTTTCTCTGCAAGTCGAACGAGGGATGCACCTTATTTAAGCATAGTGTTCTTTGGCAGCGGTCGGTGCAACGTATTCTTCAGCAACCACTTCCACCGGACATTGTGTATGATGGCAGCGATGCGAGAAGTGAGGGAAGTGATGATGACATCGATGACGGTGAGAGAGTTCTTAATGAGGAAGATCCATCATTTTGGGGGCAACTGGGGGCGAAAACGGAGATGGCAGAGACCACAAAGTCAGTTGAGGGGTGTGATTTGCGTTTATTACGTGCAGGATGCTTGCCTTGCTCCCGGGATGCGCAGTTACTATCGGCCGCCCGGGGCTACAAGACACCGGGACGGTCGTACCTTCTTAAATCTGTGGGGGATGTTGCAGAGCTAAAGGATGCTATTTTGTGTGTTTGCCACGCTTCTTCCAGTGACACGGGGTTTGCTCTCATGCGCAGCGTTCCAGGTCTGCATAAGCGTCTGAATGCTCTTATGGTGTTTGGGGCAACCGTCTCCGTGCGGAGTATATGTTTTGTGGGGGAGTGTATACAGGCACGTTCCAGGCGGTGTGCGGAGCAGCTTTCCGACATGTCACGCTATGTACTCCATGAGTGCAACGCCTACACAAGTGCGGATGGGGTACCGTATTCCGTTGCCTTTTCTCACATCAAGCCGTCTCGGTGGACTCCGATTGGGCGTCCCACAAATCAGTGGGGAGTCTCCTCCCTGTACTTTATCTACAGGCAAGAGTGCTCTGGCAAGGCAGACGAAAGTCCCTACTTCACGCTGGAAGGGGCGAGGAGCACAGAAGCACTTGGACAGTCAGCACGACGTGTATTTGACCAAGTGTGTACCCTTTCTAACCCGGTAAGCCGCGAGGGGGCAAAGAAAAAATTGTGCCAAGTGTTGAAACACCAGCCACACATTTTTCTCGAGCCACGCATGCGGAAACTGATCATTGATGCCACACAAATGTTTCGTATGCAACACGCGGAGCGGAAGTTTATTGCAGATCTTCTTGAAAACGCACCTCTCGCTAAACCAGTGCCATCTGCCCGTCGGGCGACGATTGTGGTTCCTTCCCCCACACGGCTGAACTGAAGAGGGGAGCGGGAACGGTGAATTGTTTTGGGTGGCGGAAAGGAGAGAGAAGGGGAAGGGTCTGCTGGAAGACAAGTTCATTTCTTTTTTTTTTTTTTTTTTGAGGTGACGAAATTCAAAGAAAAAAAAAAAAGAAGTTATGAAAAGACAACCACCAAACGAAGCTGCTGCTTGAACTGATAAAACACGGGTGTAGGTGGAAGGGCGGTGGTAGTTGGTAGTGGTGTGCGTTTGTGTGTTTGTGCTTGCCATGAATGGCCCTTATTTGCTGGTATCACCGCAGCTGTGTTAATGCTGCGTTATTATTATTATTATTATTATTATTATTTTTTAGGTGCTTTTTAGCCTCTCTCTTTTTTCCTTTTTGCGTTTCTCCATCATTATATGCATTCAAACATGTGTCACCTTGTCATGTGCCTAGAAAGAAATGACGAATGAGCCAGTGCGAGGAATGTCTGGCGGCATTGTGTCTTTGTTTATGTTTGATGTATATGTGAGGATTCAATAGTAGTGGGGCATAGGGTTGGTGAAGCTGTTTTCTACACGCTGCCAAATTGCGCGTAATGGTTCATCTTTCCTACTCTCTTTATTTTACTTTCTTTACCTGGCGTTGTTGCCTTTTGATGGCTGAAGCTGAAAGGATTTTTCGTTGTCCTTGTGCGTTGAGCGGCACCTTTTCTCCTTATGCTATGTTTGTTGCGTCTTTCTTTTCCTTTTTATTTTCATTGACAATATCCTTTTTTTTTTTGTTTGTTGCTTTATTATTGTTGTTTTTTTTTTCCGTTCTTTCTTGGGCGCACGGGAGGAGTGGCAGGGGAGTGCAGCAGGGTATAGAAGCAGTTGTTTGGCAAATGACGGAGAATTCCAGTGCGGTTGCTGCCGGGGCTGTGGACGGCACGGTCCGTGCTGGGAGGAGCAAGGCGTTGTTTCTGAAGGATGACGAGCGATTTCTTTTTGACTTTGGCGGGGAATCGGCGGTGGACGGTGCGACAATGACGGGGAGAGATTCCACCAGCCCCGCGTCACGCGCCTTTGCCTGCCCCCACGAGGGAGAGGGCGATGATGCCGACAGGCAGGCTGTCAGGGATGGCGTGGATGCTGAGCTTGGCGTGCGAGGCAAAGTGGCGGTGGCCTCGCTGAGCGCGGCGGAGGTGCGTCGATGTTTTCACGCCGCCCTGAACGCAGGCAGTGATGTTTTTTTGAATATGCCACTAAACGAGGCGGTTGAAAAGTTTCAGTTTGGACTGCAGCGGTACAGCGAGGCGTTGTCCCGTCATACACGGCAGGAGAAGCAGCGCAGGGCAGTACCAAGAAAACGGACCCGTATCAGCAGTGATGATGATGATGATAATAATAATAATAGTAATAACACGAGTAGTCCGAAGAACGCTGGTGGCAGTTTTGAGGGCAAAAGGCGTACACACAAGTGATTCTCGATTAAAGATACATGTTATTATCTAAAAACCGAATATATATATATGCCTATGGATGGCGAGTTATTTTATGATGGGAGATGCGCGTGTTTGCCGCGAAGGGGGAATTTGGAGTACGAATATTCCCACGGATCTTATTTCCCGGCAAAGTATTGGAAACAAATGCCATTGTGCAATTAGGGCCAAAAATTTTTTTTTTTTTCTGTCGTGCGTGTTTCCTACGGCATTTAAGGTTTTTTTTTTTTTTTTTTTTTTTTTTTTTTTGGGGGGGGGACTTCTTCTTCTTTTATTAATGCGAATTTTTTGCGTGGTTTCTTTTTTAGAGCCGTTAGGGGGTGCGGGGGAGAGAGGAAGAGAGGAACTCTCTGCACTTTGCGTCGGGCGCTGGGGGTAGGGGAAATACATACGAAGAAGTACCGTGCGGGTTGTCTGTGCCGGAATACATTAGCTTCTGCGGATAAAGAAGGAGGAAGAAGAAAAGGAGCAATCAACTGGCGGAGGATACACGTATATTTGTCAAATTTAACGGCTTACGTTGTGAATAGATAGAGGAAAGGAGGACAGAGAAATTTAAATAATATTTTGTAGTGACCATGGGGATTAAAGGACTGTGGTCGGAGGTGCGGCCCGTGTGTCGTCAATCACACCTGTCGAACTTTCGTGGTCAGCGCGTGGCTGTGGACATGTACGTGTGGTTGCACCGGAGTATTTTGGGTAGCGTTCAATTGGGCACGAGGGCTGATGCAGAGGCGTTTATTGAGTCTGCTGAGATGACATCCGAGGCCGTTGATGCAGGCAGTTCTGTTCTTCTTAGCAACAAATTCTTACAATTTGTGATGGGTCGTGTGGACCTCATGTTAAGGTGTGGCGTCCACCCTGTGCTAGTTTTTGATGGGGCCCCGATTCCCATGAAGCAGGGCACAGAAGCGGAGCGACAGATGCTCCGTGCGGCACGCCTAGCAGAGGCGTTACAAGTGCTAAAACAGGGAGGTCCATCGAATCCCCGCGCCAGGCAGGAGGCAGCACAGTTGCTGGAGAAGGGTATGGACATCACCACTGAGCTGGCGCATGCTGTGATTCAGGTGCTAAAAGAACGACGACTGGAGTGCATTGTTGCCCCATATGAGGCGGATGCTCAATTGGCGTATTTGTGCAAGGAGGGTTATGTGCAGGCGGTTGTATCGGAGGACAGTGACCTCATTGCGTACCACTGCCCGTGCCTCATTGCCAAACTGGATGCTCATGGTGGCTGCGAGGTGCTCTTTGCGCAGGACTTACCGCGGTGTCCGAGCTTTTACGGGTTGTCATATGAGTCGTTTTTGGTTGGCTGTATTCTTAGCGGATGTGATTACCTTCCGAGTCTGCGACACATTGGGGTGAAGAAGGCATTCCGTCTGGTTGCCCAGGCCACATCGGTTCCAAGTATTATGCGGTCCTTGGAGGTCAAATTTGGGTTTTCCAAAGAGGAATTAGATGCATACGAGGCAAAGTTGCAACAGGCCTTTTACTGCTTTGCACATCATTTTGTATTTGATCCTGTTCGCAAGGAAGTCATGCACCTGACCCCGCTTCCACGAGGGATTCCGCTCAAGACGAACCTTCTTGGCGAGCCGCTACGAAAAGATATCGCGGAAAAAGTCTGCGCGGAGTGCCTGTACGACCCCGTCACGAAGGCGTTGTACCGGGGCAGCTACTTGTACTGCGTACAGGAATACTGGAAGCACACGAGAGGGGGACAGACTCCGCTGAATTCTTACAGTGGATTTAGAGATATGCAGTCACCGCGGGTGACGATTCTTTTGAGTTCGAGTGGCACCGACACAACAGGGCGGCGTGCCTCTCCCACCACGACATTCTTTTCATCACCGCTGCAAAAGGTCAGTGAGGCCAAGGGGTTCTGCGAAAAAGTGACTCGCAACGTGACCTTGGTACGCTCCAAGTACTTTACAAAAGGACGCTGGAAGGTGGAGGATTGGGAGAGCGAAGATAGTGAGACGACGGCAACAACAACAACAACAACAACACAAACAACGCCTATAACAACCACAGTTGAAAGTGCCGCTAGTACTACGACTACAGCCGCCGCTGGCTGTGTGGAGGAGAGGGGCGAGGGAGCCTCGTGGTGTTTGTCGTCTCTTCGGTTTGTGGTGAAAGATGATCCCGTGCGGGGATCTTCGCTAACTGCCTCCGTATCCTCTACAAATCAGACGCAGGATGACGGGTTTGCGACACAAGAGCAAGGCAGTTTTGTGCAAGCCAAAGCACCTTGCTTGTCATCACCTCCTGTCTTACCACCCCTCACGACGGTGCCCACACTGGAGGGAACAAAGGCACTGGATGCCAACGAGAGTCAGCAGCAACATGAGACGAGTGGATGTCCTTTTGGCTACGTCCAGTGTGGACGACGGCATTCCATTTTTGAACTGTGCTTTCAGGGAAGGAATTGGTCAAAGGACTTCAATCCTGTTGCTTACGAAGGGAGGGCGAACCAAGTGGTGGACGAGACCCAGAATATTGGTGCTGGTAGTAGCAGTGACACCAACTGCCTTGGTGTATCGTCCCATTCTTCCTTGCGGACAGGGGCCGGTGAAAAGCGTCAAAGAGAATCGGCGCTGCCACCTTCATTTCGACCCGTTTTTAGACCTCCGGCCTCTACCAGCGGGAGATCGACGGCTGCTTCATCACATGCGGAAAAAATACCTCCTGCTGCTAAGAGAAGGGTGCTGTCTTCCACGGAACAGGCCAAGCAACTGATGAGGCGATTTACCCCTGGGGGCTCCGCCGCCTCCACGGTGGATTCCGAGGCGGATAATTCCAGCCGTATGAACGGAGGGGCGGCTGAGCTTTTTAAAAAACTGACGTTTGCGCGACAGTGATGCAGTCACATGAAAAAAACACTTTTTAAATTTATTTTTATTCATAGATGCGGTGGGGATGTATTTTGCATTTTTGCTTTTGTGTTTTTCTTTTCTTTTTTCTTTTTTTTCTTTTTTTCTTTTTTTGAGTTGACCTCCACTTCCTTTTGTTTGTTGGACATCTTTTAAAGCTAGAGGCGAAAATTCCAATGATGATTATTATCGTTATTTATTTATTATATAAGGCACAGGCGAGAGAATGAATTGTGGTCCTTGTGTGTGATTTTGTCCCACACGTTGAGGTTGCCTCCTTTTAGATACAGAGGAATCTTATCCCCCCCTCCCCCTCGTGTATGTGTGTATATATGTGTGTGCCTTTATGTACACATTGGTTCATGTAATTGCGTTTTTCATTTTGGTTTTTTTTTTTCTTTCTCTTTTGGATTGAAGCGTCTTGAGCCTATCAATGAGGTAAGATAGATGAATACATGATGTCACGTGTGCACGTTGCAGAGCCTTTTTGTTTGACTTTTTTTTTTCCTTTTTTTTTTTCTTTTTTTAGTTTTGTCTGTTGTGCAGAGAACCTTTTGGCCAGGAGGTTTTTTTTTTTTTTTTTTTTTTTTGCCGCGGCGGAATGGGATCCAAATGTGGACTGGATGAAGTGCCAAGACAGTTGCGCCAGCTGCTACACCGTATTCCTGTTGGATACTCCTCCGTGTATCTGAACGAGCTGCAGCCAAGTAGCCAACATCTTTTTCTTGCTGCTTGCATGACAAAGGCCCGCCAGAAGTTAAATGGGAGTGCGGAGAATAAGTTAGGCATCTCTGTTTCTCGACAGAATGTCAGTTTTCATCCATCTGTCCGAGCGTCACGTTTGAACGGAGTGGAGGCCAAACAACAAGGGGGGAAATCCTCTCCAAGTACGTCAGTGCCTATGCTACAACGCATGGTATCCGAATTACGGCTACCGAAGGGGTCGAGTGGGAGGTTAGAGGCGTACCGGACTTCCCATCCCACAATACTGACGAATCCGCACCTTTTTTTATTAATTGTTCCGCGTTGGATGTTCGACGACGAGGGAGGAGAAAACGAGGGGCAGCGCACCGTGGAGTCCGTTCTGCAACGTCATCTTGTGAAGGTAAACAAGACGCTATATTGGCGGGAAGGGGAGCCATCGCATGGAGATAAGGATGCGGCGACGGACACACCCGATGTCATGTTGGAGACTATATGGGGTTGCACCACTTTGCAGTTGTGTCAGGCGGCAAAGGCTGCCGCGTCGCGTGGGTGCCGTTTGTTCCTCTTAAGTTATCCCCGGCAGCGTATGCTATCAAATGAGGGATTGCTGGTACGGGAGTTGGGCGGCTGGTGCCCCTCTGCGTTCTGCAACTTTCAATTGGATGTACGTTCTGTGGATCTAGAAGATGCCTCGAGGCACTCTTCTTCCCTGTCACTTTTAGAGGAGGCACAACGCGGGTTTGGCGCTAACATTGGCGTGGAGAAGGCAGGCATGCAGGGTAGTTGTGGCAGCGACTCAACGAAGTATGGTCTAGGGAACATGGCACAGCTGGAGTATAAGTTTCCTTTTGCTGTTGCGGAGGCGGTTGTGGATGCGAAGCGGGATGCTCCTGTTCCATGGGCGCAGGTGTGTGATGACCCTCTCACCGCGTCTTTGTTTGAGGCGCTCTACGATCGACGGCATTTTTGCGTGGCAGATGCGGTGCTTTACGCATCCCGACGTGTGGTACTGCCGTTTCTCCTCGGCCTTTCTCCATCATCGTCATCGTCATCGAATACACTTAACGGAACAGGAGGAGGAGAAGGTGGAGGGGGCGGTGCGTCTTCAGCGGGGTTGATGCGTTGGTCTGAGATTCATGCGGTGCTGCGGTGGCGTCTGTTTGAGTCGGCCTTTGGCTCTCTGTCGCAGTTGGTCCGCACGGAGGACGTGGCTGCGGTGGGCGGTGGCCTTGATCCATTTATTCTCCCTCTCCACGAGACATTTTTAACCCGAATATTAATTCCCCGAATGTCTGAGTATTACGACGCCACCTGCAAGGGTGCGGAGGCCTCAGCGCGGCAGAATGCGGTGACACCAGGGGACGCACGTGTCCACAACAAACCGTCCACACCTGCCACTGTCACTGTGGACATCCTTGAATGCTTCAACAGCCTGGCGAGCAGACGGAGGCACGGGGGCAGCGGAAGTAGCGGCGCTGACCATAACGGCAATGAAGTTTGCGATGCCAACGGTGACGCTGCCGTAAAAAAGAAAAAGAAGAAGGAGCGAAAGCCGAAGAAATTGGCCGATGAACACATTTCTTTTGGTGTCGATGATGTCCACTTTACGGTTGCGGACCTACCAGGCTTAGTGAAGTATCTTTTGTACTTCAGCCAGCGGTTTGAGGTTCATGGTGGTGGCACAACTCTGAAGTTCACCCCACATAGGGGTTAAGTTTTTAATGGAGGGCCACGTTTATCGATTTTTATAGAGATGGAAAGAGGTGAATTGGGCTTTTGTGTGTTTGTGTGTCTATGTGCCGTTGTGGTTGGTATGACGATGACGACGATAACGGTGACAACACACACCAACAAAAGAAGAAGAAATGCCTGAGCTGTTTTATTTTTTATATTATTTTTATTTTTCTCTTCTTTTCCTTTCTATTAGTTTGATTCACGAGCAGCAAAAAAAAAAAAAAAAAAAAAAAAGAAGAAAGAAAGAAAGAAAGGGTGGTGTGGAGGTGGGGGAAGGGAAATTGGTGTGTGGTAAAAGGAACCGTTGATACATATTAGCCATAAAGGGTGGGTGGGGTGGGTGGGGTGAATGTTATTTCTGCTGGAATAGGAGGGCCTGAGTACGCACAGACACAACAACAAACAACAAACAACAAACAACAACAAAAGGAGACATGTACACGGAGAGAGAGAGGACAAGAGTATCAGCGAATGACACGCCGCTTACAGGTGCATTATTTAACTCCTCATTCACCTCAAGCGTGACGGAGTTCTCTAACTTCCCTATGACGAAATCTTCCATGGGCTTCAGCAGCACATGCCCTCTGGGGGATAACTGGAGTTTCTGCACCGGTGGCAAATCCATCCGATGGAAGGAAAGCCCTGAAAATGAACTCCCAGGGTCGTTACCGGAAAGGCGCGGTTTAATTTGGTTGCAGCGACGACGGCGGCTTTCAGAAATGCGGCGAACACCTTTTCCGTCATCCACTCTGGCGTCGAAGCAATCGACGTGCTTCTCTCCGTTTGCAGGTCACAAACCACATGGGAACCGTCATGACTTGCGAGGGTCGTCATCATCGCCGTTTTATTTTGTGGTGGAACGTTTGATTGCCTTTACGCTCTGCTTGCTGGTAGTGTTTTTCTTTATCCTGGTTCTTGTGTATTAACAACGTGACGGTTTTTTTTTTTCTTTCTTTTATTTCTTTCTGTTTTATATTTGTTCCTTTTGTTTATGCATGCACGGGGGTTGTTGGCGGCGAGGAGGAGGAGGAAGAGTGCATGTATGCGACCTTGCATGCCTGTTAGCGCTCTAAATCAATTTATTTTTTTTTTTTTTTTCCCTTCTTTTCTTTCTTTCTTTTCCTATTTTTTTCGAATATAAAAATAAATAAATGTTTTTTATCTGCTTTTTTTTAATTGATGTCTTTTATTTATTTATTTATTTATTTGTTTTTATTTTCTCTGTTTACTTTGCTGCGGGCTGGTATATAAATATAAATATAAATGTGTGTGTTTGTGTGTTTGTGTGTGTGAGTGTGTACATGTACTTTTTTTCTGCGGCTTTAATTCTGTTTTTTTTCCCGTTTTTTCGCCTTGTGCGTCTACACGGGGTGGTGGCGGTGGTGGTGGTGGAATGAACGAATGAATGAATGAATGGATGGGAGGGTTGAGATCGTGACGGGTGCGTGGGATGTTATTTTTATTTTTATTTTTTTAAATGTTCCCCCCCCCGCACAAAACAACAAAAAGAGGGAAAAAAGAGGAATTGTTGCGGGGGGGGGGGGGGGGGGGTGAAGAAAACGAGAAGCAAAAGGAAATGAAAACGCCCTTTTCGGGGGCATAAAACTGCCTGTTCGTTCGTTGTTTTTTTTCTCCACGCCGGTGCGGATGGAAAAGGGGGGCGGTGGGACCAAAAAAAAACAAAAACAAAAAAAAAAAAAACAAAAACGGAAACGCAATCGTTGAATGAATCGTCCTATTTTTTATTTTTATTTTTATTTTTCCTGAAGAACAGTTTGAATCCTTTTAAAAAACATAAAATAAAACATCTTTTTTTTTTTTTTTTTTTGCATTTATTTGTGTTTTTTTTTTAAATTTCTTTGCACCCACGGCATGCCGCTGCCGCTGCCGCTGCCGCTGCTGCTGCTGCTTCCCCTGTTGTTGTTGTTGTTGTTTATTATTATTATTTTTTTTCTCCTTCTTGTTGTTGTTGTCCTCATCCCCCCCCCCCTCTGTTATCTTT